TCCTGCTCCTTGACGGAGGCCTTTGCTCTTGCGGTTCTTAGCCATTGCTACTAAGATTATTGCAAGATGATCTTGGTTAGAAATTTGGCTTAAAGATTTTTGAAAGTCTTCCCCACAGACGGCGCCAAATTGTTTCGGGTGAAAACAATGGGACCTTGCCGAAGGTCCGATGAAGTGGTGAAGACTAGATTCGATCCAAGAAATGTTGGGCCGAAGGTTTCCTGCACAGTAAACACACGTAAACTAGCCTCGGGGGTGTTGCCGAGGAAGGCCCCTCCGATGCTAAAGTCAATACAGTGTGTTGAAAGAGAACACTATGCAAGAGAATTAGTTGCTTGAGGCTTTTCTTGAATGAATGTAAAAATGTAATATTGATGGCTTTTATACCTCTTCATACATGGAGAAGTTGGGCCTTAGCCCAATTGGCTTGCCTTGAGGACTGATCTTTGACTTTAGCACAATTGGAGAGATGAACCTTGACCTTGGGCTTTTAATTGGATCATTTAATGCCTAAGCCCAATTGGACTAAATTGGACCCAAACACTTTCCAAATAGATTCTATTTCTATTCTCGATATTTGTGTAATTGACATAACTACATAAGGTTACTAGGCTGGTAAGAACTAAGAAGTTGAAGTTCTTGCTTGAAAAATGAAAGCTTGTCCAATTGCTTGAATGACAAAAGCAAATTTAATGAAGTCGATCGCTAAGTAACATAGTCATATCTTTACATAAATATATTTGTTTATGGGAATCTTATATGTTTTGCAACCATTCAAACAAATATTCTTTGGCAATAATGTAATACTACCTCCGTTACAGGTTATGTGCAACGATTAGACATTTTTCCTCTCTGCTTTATGTCAAATCGTTGCACATAACCTGTAACGGAGGTAGTATATTAGAGCCTTGAAATCATTTAATTTCCGATGTTTATAAGCTAAACGATAACTCAATGATATATCTCGTATCATGAAAGGTTAACCTTAGCAAAAAGAGGGCGAAGTTCACTAAATAACAGCCACACTATATATATATATATATATATATATATATATATTATATATATATATATATATATATATATATATATATATATATATATATATATATTAGATTGGCAAGGTGGTACACACCAGGCCATACTCAACTGAATTTATTAGAGTTGAACCGAACTGAATATTTTATAAGAGAAGGAAATTAGGAGCTGAGTTGAGCTGAACAGAACTGAAAATAGTCATATCAGAATAGGCCCTTAATCAAGCTTAGCAAATAATTGTACGAGTTATTATTATTATTATTATTATTATTATTATTATTATTATTATTATTATTATGGCAAGAATTGAATTATTGTTTCATGATTTGTTTTCCTCAGGTATCTCCAAGAAATAAAATCCTAAGCTCAAACTCAACGATAGTTCATGGAAAAGCTTGCTTTTTTTTTTTTTTTTTTTTTTTTTTGTACTTCGTATTAATCTTATTTTTCACTCAATTTCATTCTTTGGAGTTTAATATAATCTCTAATATTTCCACACCAAAAAAAGTGTAATTCTTGGTAACAATTCAAATCTATATGTCAAACTAGTGATCCAACTCGATCTATTTATGTGATACAAGCATGCAAGCGCATCAAATTTATGTAGTAATTTACTAGGTTGAATTGGCCTACAAAACTTAAATTTAATGTGGACGTATCACACCATTTGTTGATAATGTGACGTGTCAACGAAAATGTCCATGCCAAAATCAAAACATAGCAAAAACAGGATTATTTTACTCCACATGCTTGAAAGGAAATTAGGAAGGTATGTATTTTATAAATATAGAGGGAGGTAATTTCCATTGTTACATTTCAAACCAAAAAATTTTCTTATAAATCCATACTTTCATTTTATAGCACATTCATAGTTACTAAATATAAATTTAGAACTCCCCAAAATAAGAAAAAGAACGTCCTCTAAAAAATTTTGAAAATGGGAAGGGCATTTGTTTTCCTTGTTATAGATAGTACGTACTAGCTTGAATCTTATTTAAGATTACCTACCTTCAAAAAGTAGATAAAATTTTATGTATGTATTTTCTTAAAAATCAAAACCTGATACTTCTTGCTAAAAAAAACATTGAAAAACTATAATTGATTAATGATTATGCAAGTATGCAACCACTCTGATAGGAAAATTAAAATAAACAAAGTACTTGCAAAATGAAAAGGAAGTCATAGAAGGCTCTATCTATTATAACTAACCAAGTAACTCTTAGGCCACACCGTGTACGTGGCCAGCCACATAAGAATTTTTTGTATAATGTGAATTAAAGAAATTTCTATCTTTTCTAATATTTTCTATCACAAATGCACAGGACTACAGGAGCACGACCTAGCTGCACCATGGACACAACTCTAACAATATTGGATATTTGGATGCATCTCTCTCGACATGGATTATTTAATTTGATACCCAAACCTCTTAACAATCTGGACCCAAACCTCGAGCTTGACAAGTGGAGGATAACAATAGTCAAATTAAATTAATAAAGCTAACTAGTTTTTGGCTCGAGCAATGACCCGGGTCATTGTTTGTATATAAATTATTATAACAAAATAAAGCAAGTGAGATATAAATTGCTGGCTTTATAAAAATAATATCATTTGTTAAATATTTTAAATATAATTGAACATCAAAATTCATAATTTAATATGCAACAACCTAAATGCTATATTGTATTAGTTTGTTTTATTTGTTAAAGGAATTTTTTTTAATTATTCAACTATCATAATAAATTCCTTCTAATAAACATATTTTGTGGTTAAAATGAAAAATTATTTAAAATTATTTTGCATTTTTGGGTTATATATTTTAATGAACTATAACCTATATAAATTATGGTTGAGTAACTAATCAAAGAAATGAAATTAATTTTGCAATCATATTGTTCTTAAAATATACACATATAAGTTCACAATTAAAATTTTAGAATTTATGAACATGAACAACACTTTTTAATACTATTTTATCATCATAAGATGTCATTGGAGCAGTGGTTAGTTAAAGTATAATTTTAATGAATATGAGGTTATGGGTTCAAATACTAATGCTATTAAATTATAAATTTTTATGAGAAAACATTGATGTATAATTATTAATAATAGGCGACATGGCAATACGTGGCGAGATTGGCGACACGTGGCAAGATTATAATCCTTGCCATTGATTTTTAATATATATTGATTGATGTTAATGATGATGTACATTTTTCAAATGCATAATTATTCATACTTACAAGCATTTAATTATTTTTGTATTGAGAGTCATAAAAATCAGAAAGACAACGTAATACTCTGTATAATCTAGGTCTTAAATATTAGTGTACCACCCTTTATTTACGAGTAATGTTATATGATAGAGAATATATAAATTAATCATGTGATTTAACCATCGACTTAAGTTTTTGATTGAATTAGTCTCTAACATGGTATTAAGAGTAAATGCGACAAGAAGGTCATGGGTTCAAATCTCATCAACCCCTCTTTTCAAGTGAAATATTTTGCGTTGATTATAAGGAGGCTCATGTGTAGACACCCAAAAATGTCTCCCCAAAACCAAACTCTCGAACAGTTCTACCTTTCATGCCTTGGCTTAAGTACCAAACTTCGGAAAAGTATGGACTTCAGGGAGTGCTTAAGGGATGACTTGTGTAATTAGGAAGGCAAGTGTATAAGTCTAGAGCATAAGAGAGAAAGAGTATATGAATTGGTGCCCCAAGACTTTAAATGAGCCTTTTATTTATAGAGGGGAAATGAGGAATGAGATCCAAAACCCTAGAAATGAGGCTTTGTGGAAGAAAAAAGGCACCGCGTCACGACACTAAGTGTAGTTAGCACGATATCAGTTATTGTGTCCAGCACAGGTACCGTGGCACGGTACATGTGACGTGGCGTGGCGGTAAATATCATCCCTATTTCTAAAGTCAAAAACGCGTGAGAAAAGATGAAAGTGAGTGAAAACAGTGTCGCGGCTCGGCACCGGGCATCGTGGCACGGTACTCCTGCCGTGTACTCCTGCCATGGTGCGGCACATCAATTTCCTTGAAACTTCTTTATTAAAATTCATTTTATTTTATTTTAAACAAAACATGTGATAAATTAGGCGCCGTTTCTATTATTCCAAAGCCATTTTCAGGTTTAGGGTTTTGTAATTTTATTAATTGGGCTCAATTAATAAATAATGAAATGGAATAAAAATTGTTTGGGCTAGAAATGAAGTTTGGACAAGATTGACTAAATGTTTGGACTAAAGTGTGGATTGTTTTATGTAATGCATTGGATTAAACATGAATTTTAAGCACCCCCAAGATTAAATACTCAACCCAACCAATATTGGTGGTGAAAGGTTGTTTATCATCGGGTTTTGTTTTTTGAGACAATTTTAGGTGTCTATACCATGTTGCATATGCATCCTCATTTTGAACCCCAAAGGGCTCTCATGTGAGTGGGTGTAATAGAGTATATAAATCAATCATGGGATACAATCATCAATTTAGTTAGGCCTTTAACATAAGATGACATGCATAATTACTTATGTAAATTTAAACTAAGCATTAGTTACAAGAAGGGATTAAATAGTGATTAAACATAATTAACCATTATACAAGTATATGTACAACCTGTATTATTAATTTTGTATATAGAGCCATATAAGTCAATAATGAAGACCAAATAATACGATTGGTCTAGGTCATATATAACACCATTTATTCACTAATTAATTCAAATGACATGCACAATTATTGTAAATGTGAAGGATAAGCTACTAGAACAAATAAACAAGCCTTATAATTAATCATGAAAAAACATGATTTATTGTATGAAAGGTGACTAAATGGTCCATATGTACTTAGTTGGTCCATATGATTTTTTAAAAAATATATCAACCGTCCTTCTAGTACAAGGACATAGTTTTCTACAAAAAAATCCACATTTCTTTGTGTTCCGTGTAAGATTATTATAGACTACTTTATGTAAGCCACATAAAAAGAAAGAGGAATAAAAAGAGGGAATTACTCTTTTAACCAGGCCAAAGAGGGTATATGTCAAGAAGCACAAAAATACCCTAAGGTTATGAAAAAGAGTTATTATTTTATTTTATTTATTTATTTCAGGGTTTTTCTATTTATATATTTGTATGTTAAGTTGTTTACAATTATGGTACCCTAGGACAATAAGACCACATAAAAAGAGACCTAACTCTTTCCCAAAGAAAGTATTTTCAGTGAGTAAATATAGTTAAGTTGTTTTCTTTTCTTTTTTTTTAAAAAAAAAGAGAGAGAAAAGATAAGAATTATAATACAATTAATAATCATGGGTAGAGGAAGAGTTGAACTCAAGAGGATAGAGAACAAAATCAATAGGCAAGTTACATTTGCTAAGAGAAGAAATGGACTTCTTAAGAAAGCTTATGAGCTTTCTATTCTTTGTGATGCTGAAGTTGCTCTTATCATCTTCTCTAATCGTGGTAAACTCTTTGAGTTTTGCAGCTCGTCGAGGTTTGTTCTATCCTCTCTTGTTCGGTTTATATGTAGTCGTGATGTAATGTAATATATTTAGTAGCTAGGTCTTGTATACGACGACTCTGTTTGAATGTAAATGGTTTTATATTTCTAGATCGATCTTGTTTTGTGATTTTCTTTTTTTTAGGGGGTTTTGGATCGGTTTTATTAAGATCTATGACCTACCTATGTTTTGATTAATAAGGGATTTGAAAGCAAAATGATTTTCTTTTGTAGGCTAATTACTACATTAGAGTGGTACCAACAAAATTGATGATTTTCAACATTACTTAATATGTACTAATTGGATTCAACTTCTTCTATAGTATTTGAAGAGTTGATTTGTTTCTACTTTAGTAAAATGGATTTATCATTATTATAAAATGGGTAAAAAACTAGGTTTCTTAGATGTATATAATAATTAATTTGGTAGCTAGATCCTTGTTTAATGCAAGTCCAAGTAGTTAATCTTTTTTGTAAGGGCTTTGTTAGTTAATTATTGTACTTTTTTTTGTTTAGCTTGAAATTTTATTTTTATGATATAAATTAAACTATAAACAATGATCTTAATGAAAAATTTCCTTAATGATAATTATACATACTACATAGTGATAAATTAAGGTATTCATGAGATTTAAAAATTAAATAAAGTTCTTGTACAAAATTTTAACTGATATTTTGCTTTGTGAAAATTAATTTAATTATATAAAAAGAAAAAAAAATATTACTACTCATTGTTACTGTTGAGATTTGAGGGCAGAGATGTGATGTTTTGCAGAAGAAGGCTGTTCATTTGTTAAAACTGTGAATAAGATAGAGAAATAGACAAAGGCTGCTTTAATTTGTTTGGTTCCAAAGTCTGATTTATCTTCAATCCTCAAATGCCAATTAATTTTTCATCTTTTCCAATTCAATCTTCTTAATTTTCTTGTCTTTCTTTTGCAGCTTTAATTTTGCACTCTTTTATAACTAATTTTTGGGTTTTACCCTTTGAGGAAATAAAGTTAAACTAGATCTAATTGAAAGACACTACTAAAATTTAAATTGAATTAATTTTATGTGGATTTCAAATAAATTAAAGCATCGGCATCATTATGATCATAATAATTATTTTATCTGTTAGATAAGAATTTAACTAAAGGCTCAATTATTAACTTATTTTTAATTTTTAATTATCATCCTTTGTTCATTGGTGTGGAATTGGAAGTTAATTCTCTAAGTTTTATCTATATTAAAATTCTCTAAATATATCTGAAAAATCATTGGGAAGATTTGCAAGAAAAATTCAACATGAGGTGATCTAATTGTATTAGTATTTTGGATAGGTGTGGCGATGTTTCATATAATTATGTTTATGATTGTTTGGATGTTCTTAACTTCCTCTCTAATTCTTGTAACTATGTTGGAACATGTACTTTTTAGTGATACATCCATGAAGTTCCAAAAAGATATAGAAGATCAATTATATATCATTCGTCATAGATTTGATTCCAATATTACCACGTTTTATTCTTCCAGTTGTTACATTTTTCCCTTTATTTGATAGTTTCAGATGATTTTGTTGATTTGGTTTGTAATGATAAATGTATACAACTGTATATTTTCCTCGCTATTGTTTTGAGTTTCTCCTCCATCAACTCTGCTTTTTATGATGCTAATCTAGTGTAATCGTTAAAAAAAGTAAAAAGGAAGTTTGAACTAGAAAAAGGAAAAAATAAACAAGAGAATTTAAAGGGTTGAAACACTCATAATAACACCACACATTGGCATATGGTGATGCATCTATGATTGCTAATGGTTAATATTTTTTTTATTTTAAATAAATTGCTAATGGCTAATTAATTAACAATGAAATAGTTACCTAATTATATAGTAATTTTAATCACCTTATTAAAAATTTACATTCAATTCCTCACACTTTATGTTTTTTGGCAATTAGTTGGTTTTCTAATAAACCTGGTTGAATGTGGACTTTGCATGGTAATAGTATGCTGAAAACAATTGAAAAGTATCAAAGATGCAGCTATGGCTCTCTTGAAGAAAATGGGCTTCTCAATGATTCTGAGGTAGTCTCCAAATTTTATTCTTGTGTCATTATGATCAGATCAATATCCTAAATTTACAATGCTAATATACATACTTGTTTATGGTTTTTCTATTAATCTAGATTATTGCCATGTGTATACTCCCTCGACCCCCATTAATTTTCTATTTGGATTCGGCGACATGTATCTTATTATGTCGAACCAAAAAAAAAAAAAAAAAAAAAAAAAAAAGTACGTATTTATGACAGTACTATTTTTTTATTGAGAAATTCAAAATTTATTCGGATGCCAAAGGAGTTTTAATGTACTTCTAAACATAATGTGTTGAGTACACTGCAACATATACATTTATATTTTATACTTGTAGTAATGTACCACTTCAAACAATAGTCAAATTTTCACCTACTTTATTATGTTCGAAACAAGTGCATATATATAAATTTAGCAACTAATTAAAATAAATTGGACGCGTGATTATGTAGATTGAGGAAAAAAAAACACCTAAGCTACTCCGTATTATAAAGGATTTTATAGTAAAATTATGTCATAAGTAATCCTACATATATTGATGGAATTTTAATTAATTTGTAACGAGAAGTATAGAATACACATTCATAGTTTGAGCATGCATGCATGTAAATAATTTGTTGATTCAGATCACTATACATAGCTCCCATGCATATAGGATAGCTAGGATATGTAACGAATTATATACTCCGTATTATAATTTTTGACATAAATTTGTATAATAAATGTATTCTTTGATGATTATATAACGTCATTGACCCAATGTATGCAAAGCCCTATGCAAATATAGGACTATTATACACGTAGATATAAAATGTGCTGACGTCCTCTTGTCATTTTTTATTGGTTAAAATCAGGCAACCTACCAGGAATATTTGAAGCTTAAGTCCAGGGTTGTTGAGCCTTTTGGTTTTGATGGACAAATTGACAAACTCGACTAATGAATGTTTTGAGTCTTTGGTGAATAAAGGATTCAAGCAAAGTTCGTTCCGGAGTAGGAACTTGGATGCGGAGTAGCATTCTTTAAAAAGCCTCGTGCAAATCTCACGTTCTAGTTTTAATTGTGAGCACTCAATAATATAAAGTCGGAAAGGAACTCAATGACTTATGTTAAAGACTACTGGAATAAAAGTTAGTTTTAAAAGATAATTTCTTAAAGAAAAGATAATTTGTAAAAGTTTTAATAAAGATAATTATCGAAGATAATTATCTAGTTGTTTTAATAAATAATAAATTTATCTTTTCAAATAAAATCTTTTTAAACAAACTTTTGATAATCTTTTAAATAAAATATTTGATAAAGTTAGCAAGTGGTTTTTCTGTGAGAAAATCTTTTATACGGCTAATGGTTATCAAGTTGTTAGGATAGTGGTTTAATTAGATAAGGCTAGGAAACCTCTTCATGATCACAATCTGTCAAGATAACTCCACAAGTTGTTAGTGGGTTGTTGACATGTGGACGTGATTATGGTGGAGGTTAATGACTAAGCCTTCTCTATAAATACTCGTGCAAACTATCTCAGAAAAACATAACTCTTAAGCATAAAAATTCCAGTAGCCATCTAATAACATAAAGAGAGTTATTTTCCTTCATATATTCTTGAGTGCAATAGGTATTTGTAATCACAGATTGTATACAAGTACTTTGGGGTTGGGATTGTGAGTTTGTAAGGTGAGGTTAAGGAAGCTTCGTTGCTGAAGTCTTCTGTGAGAGTTGGGAACAAGTTCCTAATTTGGGGAACTTGTTAACGGGTTTGAATCTTCACTTGTACAGAGTTTGATTACATAGTGGAAATTTAGAAAAGCCTATATCTTCTCTCGTCATTATTTCATTTAGTTAAATTCCGCAAAAAGTTTTTAGATTTCACCTCAAATACAATTCACCCCCCCTCTTGTATTAGCCAGTTAGAGTTTCAGTTGGTATCAGAGCGGGAACTCAGAACACGCAGGCAACCCTGTTGAGTAAGTTCCTGGAAAATGGCTTACACAGAGGAAAAGGAATTCGGGAGTACATCCATTCAAAGGCCTCCATACTTCAACGGCAAATTTTATCCTTATTGGAAGGATAAGATGGAAATCTTTATCCAAGCAGAGAATTATCAGGTATGGCGGATTATACAAGTAGGAGATTACGAAATTACGAAAACAAATGCTAATAATGAGGTAATCCCTAAACCTATGGATGAGTATGAAAAAACTGATTTTGAAAAACTTGAAATGAATGCTACTGCCAAAAAATTTTTAATTTGGGGACTTGGACCCGATGAACATACTCGTGTCAAAGGGTGCAAGTCCGCAAAGGAAATTTGGGATCTTCTGGAAGTTACACATGAAGGAACGTCAGATGTTAAACGTTCCAAAATAGACATTCTTTTGTCTCAGTATGAGCGCTTTGAAATGGGAAACAAAGAATCCATTAAAGACATGTTTACTCGATTTAAAAGTATTACTAACGAACTAACGTGTCTTGGCAAGATAATTCCTATAGATGAGCAGGTCAGAAAAGTCTTAAGAAGTCTTCCAGACAATGACAGATGGAGAGCAAAGGTCGCAGCGGTGCAAGAATCAAAAGACTTCACCAAGTTCAATCTGGAACAGCTTGCGGGTTCCCTCATTACTCACGAGATCCAGTCGAACAATCGGACTCAGGAGACTGTCAAAAGTCAAGGGCTAGCATTAAGAGCTAATGAAGAATCCGAAGAGAAGTCTGACATCGATGAAGAAGAAGCTGCAATGTTGGTGAGAAGGCTGAAAAAATTCTACCGTAACAACAAGTTTTTAGACAAGAAGAAAGGATACAGTAAAAGAAATCAGGAACCCAAAGCCAAGTCTTCTTGTCACAAATGTGGAAGCACCAACCACTTCATCAAAGAGTGTCCATTATGGGAATCTGAGAAAGGCAAGGGAAAAGAAACTGATCAAAGCAGAAATTCCAAGCCTAACTTTTCTAAAACAAATTTCAGGAAAGCAATGATTTCCACGTGGGGAGAATCGAGTTCCGAAGAAGAGGAACAGGAACACACAGACGATGAAGTAGCCAATCTCTGTCTAATGGCAAAGCATGATGATGAGGTAGTCATTCAACCTAGTTATTTGAAATCTCTCTCAAAGGATAAATTAATCTCTTTATTGTTAGAAACCTTAGATGAATATAAAGAATTATGTGCAAAACTAAGGCAAGCCGAAAAGGCAACTGGAATTTGTAGAGATCATGTTAAGTATCTGAAAAGCTTAAGAAATGATGTTCAAGGCAGATTCTTTGAATTGTTAGATAAAAATATTATGCTAAAAGAATCCCTTGAAAGAGTCAAGAGTGAGAATATCATGCTGAATATTGAATTGACTCAATATAAAATGTTGTGTACTAACATTGATTCTTGCAGGTCTACTGAAGTTCCTTTAATCATGTTTAATAATGAACTAGAGCATGTTAAGAAAGAGATAAAGGAAACCAATGATAAAAATGAGAAACTAGAAAAGGACCTAGAAATTGCAAGAAAAAGTAAAAATACAGCAAGCACGGGTGTTCCCAAGTGGGTAAAGGAAGCTCAGACAAAAAGAACAGAAGGTCTAGGCTATGTTCATAAGAAGAAGTCCACTGGAAAGAAAAAGAAATATGTGAACTTACCTAGTGAGACCGTTTGTTCTTTTTGTGGTAAAAAGGAACATCGCAGTGAAGAATGTACTAAGAAAGCAAATCTGTACAATAAGAATGTGAACTATGTTTGGCAGAAGAAATCTGATTTAAATGTGTCAACACAGGAACCCATGAATGAAAGGGTTCCTGCTACTAACCCTTAATTTCTTTTGCAGGTCGCAGTGAGGGGGAACAACCAGTGGTACCTCGATAGCGGTTGTTCTAAGCACATGACAGGAGATGAATCCAGATTTCTCTCACTGACGGCCTATACAGGGGGAACAGTGACCTTTGGAGACAATAAGAAAGGCAACATTGTTGCTGTTGGCAAAGTAGGAAGGTCAAGTTCCCATGCAATTGACAATGTATTTTTAGTCAAGGGTTTGAAGCATAATCTACTCAGTATTTCTCAGTTTTGTGATAAAGGAAACTCTGTAAGCTTTTCTTCTGAAAAATGCAAAATCATCAACAATAACACTGGTAAAATCGTTTTGGAAGGAACTCGTAAAGGGAACACATATACCGTGGACCTTAACAAAGTTCCAAAATACAATCTATCTTGTTTAAGTGTTATTGAGGATGATCCACTTCTATGGCATAAACGTTTTGGACATGCTAGTCTTTCATTGCTTGACAAATTAAGGTCAAAGGACTTGGTAATCGGATTACCTTCTATCAAATTCCTAAATGACAAAATTTGTGAAGCCTGCATCAAAGGAAAGCATGTTCGATCATCATTTAAATCAAAGAAAATGGTAAGCACCACAAAACCATTGGAACTCATTCATATGGATTTGTGTGGTCCCGTTAGAATTCAAAGTAGAAGTGGAAAAAGATATGTCTTAGTTCTTGTGGATGATTATTCTAGATTTACATGGGTCATATTCTTACATAGTAAAGATGAAACTTTTGATATGTTTATGACTTTCTTGAAAAAGACACAAAAATCAATAGGTAATCAACTTATTCATATGAGAACTGACCATGGTACGGAATTCGAAAATTCCAAGTTTGATGAATTTTGCAGAGAACAGGGAATAAGTCACAATTTCTCAGCGCCAAGAACACCACAACAAAATGGTGTGGTTGAGAGGAAGAACCGAACATTGGAAGACATGGCAAGAACAATGCTAATAGCAAGTGGGCTTCCAAGGAATTTTTGGGCAGAAGCCGTCAACACAGCATGCTATATCGTCAACCGAGCCATGCTCAGACCAATGTTGGACAAGACACCTTATGAATTGTTAAAAGGGAGAAAACCTAATATTGCTCATTTAAGAGCTTTTGGATGCAAATGTTTTGTTCACAATAATGATAAAAGAAATCTTGGAAAATTTGATGAAAGGAGTGATGAAGCAGTCTTTTTAGGATATGCATCTAATAGTAAAGCTTATAGAGTTTACAATAAGAGGACTATGTGTGTAGAAGAAAGTATACATGTGATTTTTGATGAAACTAATAATTATGAATGTGTACAGGAATATGAAGATGGAGATTTCGAAATTGGTCTCACTCGTTCAACAGACCAAGATGAAGAATTAACTCCCAAAAAGCAGCCTGTTCGAATTACTGAAAATGCTGATAAGGAACCTACTGAAGTTCCAAACAATACTGAAGCCTCTGATCAAAATACAGAAGAAACAGAAAATACAGAAGGCGAAGCAAATGCAGAAGCAGAACACCATGAAGAAATGGAAGAAAGAGCAACTCAAAATAACACTTTTATACCAGCTCAATCATTCCAACCAAAGCCATGGAAACATCAAAGGTCACACCCCCTGGATAAAATTATAAGTGACCTAAGCAAGGGAACTCAGACAAGATCCCAACTGAAAAACTTTTGTGCATTCAATGCCTTCCTATCAACACTGGAACCTCGAAATCACAAAGAAGCTTTGGAAGATGCTGATTGGATTGTTGCCATGCAAGAGGAATTAAATGAATTCGAAAGAAACAAAGTGTGGCACCTTGAACCTAAACCAAAGAATCAAAAGGTTATTGGTCTCAAATGGGTATACAGGAATAAGCTAGATGAACATGGCACAATTGTAAGGAACAAGGCAAGATTGGTTGTTAAAGGCTACAATCAGCAGGAAGGTATCGATTTTGAGGAGACTTTTGCTCCTGTAGCTAGATTAGAAGCAATTCGTATTTTAATTGCATTTGCTGCATTTATGGGTTTTAAACTTTATCAAATGGACGTCAAATGTGCTTTTTTAAATGGTTTTTTAAAGGAAGACGTCTATGTTGAACAAC